CCATAGTTGACAAATTAACCGCACAACCCTCATCTACTAAGATTCTTGTTCGCGAGGCTTTTCACGCTATATCACCGTTACCTAGTATAGTGATAAGTAAGGGGTCGAACTCTAGGAGTTGGGAATTAAGTATTATTAGACTAAGTGCTAAAGTTGTTTAGGCTAATCAAAAAATTGATTGATTTTAATATCTAAAAAAAATAAACTAAAAAGCAAAGACAAAATTAGTTAAAATTATTTTAATGAAATAATGTTATAATGATATGACAAGATCACAACACTTTTTTCAATTGATGATCAATTAATAAGTTAATGAATGATATGTTTGGAAGGTTAACCTGAAGTCTTTTGAAGCTTATCTCTAAGTCAGCCAAAGATGTTCACGCGTAGTGATTACATGCATTCTCATGCCTATGTAATGATACTCATGAATATTATGCTCTTTGTTAATCTTTTAACCCTTTAAAGAAGAATTTACTTTCCTCAATGATAAATACTTATATCTAAGTGAATTTAACTAGTTTTCCATTAAGAATACTAACTCTTGTTGTATATTCCTAATTTATAAGTCATATATGTTGATCAAGCACATTCAACAATGTTAATTTTCAATTAATTCAAATACAAACTCATTCATGGAAGAAAAATGATCATTTCATTACTTAAGAAAAAGTGTGTGATCTAGTCACACAATTCAATTTCAAATCATACTTAATTCAAGAAAACAACAACAATTTCCAAAAACAACAAAACAAGTCCAAATGATAACATAGAAAAGATTTAGAAGATACAAGAACATAGAAAAGATTTAGAAGATAAAGAACATAAACATATTTTAATCTTAGAGAAGGAAAAAAACACTACTGGAATTCTTCTTGCTCCAAGGGTTGTAACTCTTCCTTGAAAAGTTGCTTGTCTTTAATTTTTAATAACTAACTCTCTCAATCTTTTGTCAAGTGTTTCTTGAATGATTCTCCCCTCAACTGGTGCCCAACCATATGTATTTATACCCTTCTAAGTGTCCCAAGTTGAACCTCATTGGAAAGGATGTATCTGTTGAGAAGAGACATGATGGTAGGATAGCAGGCTATGACGAGTCGGCAATGTTCTTCCCAACTCATGCATGAGATGTTCTGTGACGAGTCACCGAGGGACTGATGAGTTAGCACAAACTTGAATCCTTTAAGTCCATGTCCTTAAGGCTCTTAATTATGCACCGTAATCATCAATTGAGTCTTATAAAGTAAATTTTCACAAATGTAAGGGCAAAGACACATAAAAAGGACTAGATCATAAAATATAACGAAATTAACTCAAAACATACTAAAATCTGTCTAAATAACCTAAGAAAACACAAAATATTATGCTTATTTGCACTATATCAATTCTTTTTACTAAGAAATTTTCCAAGAACCCTTTGATTATGAGGGCATCATTGTGTGGGATATGTACATGCTCACTATTTGCCTCAGAGAATGAGATGGGTGGTCTCGTGCTTGGCTGTTGTTGGAGTAATAGAATAAATTTCTCTAGCCCTCCTTTTCCTAGCTGAGTTACTATCACCTCTTGATGAGCCACCGACGATAGTGTGGATTGTGCCCAAGGTGTGGCATTCCTTGACTTGCTTATCTTTCTTTTCAAATTCCTTTTGAGCTCTTCCCACAAATTCTTTTAGTTCGCCCTTTTGTATAAGGCGCTCAATCTCTTTCTTCAATTGCCAGCAGACCTCAGTCTTGTAGCCAACATTCTTATGGAACTCACAATACTTGCTCTTATCTCGGTAGCCCGAGATATCTTCCTTCATCTTTCTAGGGTAGTAAAGCCGAACCTGGTCCCCATTCCCTCTTACCCAAGATAATATCTATGAGCATGACTTGTTCAAAGAGGTAAATTCTCATTCTTACTGTGATTTGTCATCTCTTGAATATGGTGCTCAATCAGCATAACTAGATTGTGGATATCGGAGGGGTGATCTCCTCCTGGGCGAGCGTCTCCTTATTAGAGAGGGGTGTCTTCTATGTTTGAGCTTCTTCTCCTTAGTTGATCTCCGGTGCTGAGCCTCGTAGGCTTCATCCAGCTTTGTGTATTTGTGGGCTCGTGCCATGTGTTTGACAAAAGTTAAAGGAGGGGCTAGAATTTCAAATAATTTGTTATACTTGCAATTTTTTGCCATAGCGATAACCACTTCATCATTCAAATTCTCTATCTGCATTGCCATTCTTTGGAATTTTGAGATGAATTGTCTCATAGTCTCCATCTTTCCTTTTTAAGTGTACTAGGTCAGATGATATTTTCCTGGATGGTCACATATTATAAATCGGGCTCGGAATGCCATAACTAACTGTGAGAATGATTGAATAGATCCTGTTCTGAGAGTCTAGTACCACTCTTGGGCTACTCCTTTCAGTGTGATTGGGAAAACCTTACATATGATGTCTTCAGAGTTGGTTTAGAGATACATCATAGTTTGAAAGGTCGCCAGGTGACTTCGGGGATGGTAGATCCATCATATGGTTGAAAGGTTAGAATTTTGAATTTTGGGGCAAATGCTGCGCCTAGAATATTGGCTAACAAAGGTGAGTCCTGCTAGAGCATAGTCCCCTATCTCTCCTATCTCTCTACATTCTTTAACTAGTTCTTTGACCATGTTTTGGAGATTGGCATTATCCAAAACTGGTTGTGTGTGGTTTGGCTCCTGACTATAAGGGGCGATCATGCTGAGGTTCACCTCTGACTCTGCCTCATGGTGTCGTTCAGATACTGGGTGACTTTGTGGCTTAGGTGATGGTGGAGGTGCACTTTTTTCTCTATGGCATTGATTTCTTAGTCCATCTTGGGGTTGCATATCACCATTCGGATGGGGGATCTCCAGAAGGCGTTTTAACACAATGGTGAATTGTGAATAGGCTTGGACTAGGGCAGCCACCATTTGAGGATCAATTGTTGGTGGGGGAGGTAGTATAGGTTGTCTAGTTGCTTCACCGTTGCTGTTGTCCTGGCCTTCCGTGTTAGGATGTCCGGCTGAATCATTAACCATGGTATCCAAGAGAAAAAGGTTGATGTTTTTAAGGTTTGAAAGTGTGTTCCACACTCACTGCACCTATTGTTAAGTTCTTAGAAATTGAGTGTTGAGTGAATTATGTATCGGTCCCTGTTTGGAATAAACCTGAGGTATTTATATTGGAGTTTGGGATAATTACATTAGGATAAGGATTACAGAAATCCTCAATAATCTGTTTAGTTAGAGTTTAATTAGGAAATATATAGGATTACAGAACCTCAATAGATCTTTTAGTTCAGAGTTTTAATTAGGAAATATATATATATAATTATATATATATATATATAATATATATTATATATATATATTATATATATATAATCTTTTTATATCCTTACTCTTTCTACTCTACCAATAATCATTTAATATTTTTTACAAATCACCACATAAATCAAAAGGGAGAAGAAATATATTCATAGCATATGACGGTATAGCCTGAGCCACTAATTTCAAGAGAAGTTCCTTTCCAACCCTATACAATAAATTTGCACTCCACCCATTGTCTCATTTTGAAAGTCTATCCTTAATAAAATCAAAACCTGCTATTCATTTTTTTCAATAATTTCATCTAAGTCCATCCCCAATTAGAAACACGAGTTTTTTAACTATTTAAATCAACTTATTTTTCTACCAAATTTAATATTCACATATAAATATACTATTCATGGGTCAAAAATTATTGGTCACTCTCCATGACCCGAATTTTGAAGCGTTACATAGGGTTTGCGAGAACGTGATTTGAAAGAAATTCATAGTTCAAAGTTTCTGAAGAGAGACAAGAGGGGGTTCCATATTTTCAGAGAGTCCAGAAGGTTCAATGCTCAAAGATGATAAGGAAGGGTCCTTCATTTCAAGGGAGGTAGACCTACTTAGAGGGGAAGTTTCCAGAGTGCAAAAAAGTTGGCAATGGGATATAATTAGGCCAGTGGTTACCAAATGAATCTAGTTGTTCAAATAGCCTTTAGGTTGACGTAAGATTTTTTTATTATTATTAAAATTCAAGTGTTAAATTATATATTCGGCCTTTGAATATTACTGATTCTTTCTTATAAACTACAAGTCTATATATATATTATATATAATATATATTAATATATATATATATATATAATATATATATATATATATATATAAAATTAGGATTGTGAAAATAGGATGGTGTTATTATCGAATCTATTATAGTTAAAACCATATGAAAAATTCTAATATTAACAATGTTGTCCTTCTCTCAAATTATTCCTCTCCTCCCCAAATCAAATCAAGCTAATGATTATTTTTTTTGGCCAGCGTCAATAGCACTTTTTATAATTTTTATTGTATTAGTAAAATTTTTATCATAATAGAATACAAGTCTTTTTTTTTTTTTTTTAAGGAGTACAAGAGAAGAAAAGTGAGATTTTGGTTAAAAGAAAATATAGTGCATATACTTTCTATATTTTTATATAATTATTAGCTTAAGTATTGACCACTTATAAAAAATAATAATTGTTAACTCAATTTGAGGGATCTGATCATGTTGATTGAGTATTAGACTTATACCATCAACACTAAGCACGCTTTACTTAGTGGCAATTACAGCTACCTTTTGATTCTATAATTTTTTAGCAAGTCCGATATAATTACTTTTAAAATTTTCTTTTGTTTTGTATTATTATCCAAATAATAAAATAATACAACCAAAACCACCATATAACAATGATCTTGAAACAGATTAAACAAAATTCAAAATCTATATATAAAAAAAATGTATCTGAGAACATATACCCAAATATATTCAAAATTATACACATCTAAGAATTATGTAAGAAATACAAAAAAAAAAAAAAAAAAAAAAAAAAAAAAAAAAAAAAAAAAAAAAAGATACAAAACAAACGACAAAGAATAATATAGGGACAAAAATGAAAGGGATGGCCACCAGTACTCAACATTAGTGAAAAAAAAAAAAAAAAAAAAAAAAAAGATACAAAACAACGACAAGAATAATAGGGACAAAAATGAAAGGGATGGCCACCAGTACTCACATAGTGGCCCCCTAAAAGAGAGAAACGAGGGGTAGAAATAATGGAAAAAAGAAAGAATACGAGAGACTTGATGATGAGCCATATGTATCAATTCCATTTCTCCATCTATTTTTCGAATCCATTTAGATAAAATCTATTACCTATTCTCAGTATATGAGTTGGTTCCATACACTAAACGAATAATTAATTGCCATTTAAGAAAATTATTATTTGATAGTAAATTGGCACATAACTTCGTTTAAATTTAAAAATTTTGTTAGATTAGTTTAGTGTATGGATAGGTACATACACTAAGAATAGGTAAGACCTTCTCTTTCCACTCTTAACTAAGCTTCACCATTAATTGCTTTCTAAAATCACCCCATGAAGTAAAACATTTCAATTTCAAGATCTAAAGTTCATCAAAGAAGTCATCATGATCTTCATTTCTATCATGAAACACTGTGGTGTAAAATGTATTTTCGTGATTGATCATCTCATCAAGAGATAAATGACGATCTCCATCATCATCAGCCTGAATGGAAAAAAGAAAAAGAAAAAGAGAAAGACAATAAAAGCATAAACCACTCGTTATAAATTGTTATAACGGCATTTTTTTTATAAATTGTTATGATAGGTTTAATTTGTTTAAAGCTTTAAACGGAATCATGGACATTGCTATCTATTCATATGATCTCATATATATATATTCACAGTAACATACCTCCTGGATTAAGTAACTTGCATAATATGTTGCATAAGATAATTCTCCAGGCTTAAGGTAATGAAGGAAAGGTATTAGTTCGTCCACATCCAAAAATCTGAAAAAAAAAATATTAATTGTTAATAAAGAAAAGCTTATTATTATCAAGTGAATATATAATATATATATCATATATTAAATATTGGAAAATGGTTAAATGCATACAGATTCTCGTCTGTGTCAAGCTTCTGAAACTTTTGTTTTGCAGTTGGAAGATTAGTTACATCTGTTTCAAATCCTGCATAAGCCTTATAGATATTATAAACATACATTTGGAATTCTGCAAAGCTGATTTTCCCATCCTGATCATCATCCATCCACCTGCAAATTAATTATCAGGAACCTTTTTTTCCAAATAAATAATTCTATAAAATTCATATTTATTATATTTATAATTTTAACTTAATAAATTATATATTACTTAAACAAACTAATTAATAGAATTATGAATTTCATAATTTAAAATGAATGATATATAAAATCTATAATACTGGACATTAAAATTAATTTACAAATGAAACAGAACGTAACCATTTATGCGTTTATATTAAAAATGCATTTGATTATAATGTTATTCAATGAGCAGAATCTAATTAATGTTATTCCGAGGATAATGTTACCTTATTCTGTCTCTCAATAACCATTTTTGGATTTCTTTATTGCTACTATCTTCTGGATGCAAGAAACTGCATTAAACATTTGACTGTTAGAATTCATTTTAGCATGAACATATGGTTATAGGAAAAATATTAATTATTTACTTGTTCAATTCATCAAGGTTAAGGGTGCCATCTCCATCAACATCCGCATTTCTAAATTGTTCCATCCACCATCCAGCTTCACCATGTCCCATGTCTTTTCTTTCTGTTTCACAATCAATCCTTTTTTCAAAAATTAATAATAATTTCCCTCTAAGAAAATTCTCATTCCGTTCTTTTTTATTACCTTCTTTCTTCATTTTTCTTTACAGAAATTAAGATTTTTCTAAATATTCTTTTAAGGAAAAATAAATAAAATTTCAAGAAATTCTAATCAAAAATTTTTTTTTCTGAAAAATCTTTTTTCATCTAAAACCTATTTTGTAAAAAAGAAAAAAAAAATAAAGACTCTAAAATAGAAAAATTGAATGAATTATCCCTAAAATTTTATAAAAAAATATTACCTATTTCTTCCCTGGAAAATTGAGGGAAATATTCAGTAAAACTAATTTCTTCATCTCCATCTTTATCATGCAAATCCATTTCTTTTTGTGTCTTATACATTAAACGTTCAACAGCTTGTTCTCTATTCCATGTTTGTAGCTCTTCAAAATTGATTCGTCCATCCTTTGGTGCCTTGTCTATTAACTGGAACAATGTAGTTAGCCTCAAGGTAATGTTTAGCTTTCCATCATCACTAATATACTCACCATCTGCATAATCCTCAGCCTCGAAATTATTAGAATTCTTTTTCGAATTATCGAAATTACTCTCGTTGGAAAGATCTTTTTCCTCTGCCAATCTTTCCATTTTCACTACTAATGGGTCAAAATTTGGGATTAGAAATGTGTATCCTAACCGGCGATTTTGGCTGAGGCGAATGTTATGGCCACGCTTGTTGATGATCGGCAAGCAGACCATTAAGAACACAAAGGCGGTGGCAAGAAAGGCATAAACCACCGCCCTTGTCATATTTTTTGTTTTTAGAATTAAAGGAGAATTTTAGTCAACAAAGAGAAATTTAATAGAGAAATAAGGCCAGAGGATGAAAATATACGGATTATATGTGTTCATTCTAACTCTTTGTACACTTCTTTTTCTATAGCCTTGTGGTGGGAAAAACAGTTATTGACAGTTGGAAATGAAAGGCAGATACAGTTAATTTGACTTATTGGTGTACATTATGCACTACAAATTTAGTCTCTCTATCATTCCTAATTTTTTTTTTTTTATTACGGTCTAAAATTTGAAACTCTTATTAGGGTAAGATATATTTTTCCTTTACATATTTTTTTTTTTAAAAAAAAAATTCCGTTTTTTTACTTTCTTTTTGAATAAAAATAATTGAAATGAATTTATTATATTGGAAAATAATGTTAATAATATCTAATTGATGTATAAGGAGCAAGATTAGGATTTCTATGGAAATGGGATTGCGAAAGAAAAGAGTGGGTTCCCAAAATTTTCGGGATTCTACTTTCCTACTTTCTTTTATTAGCATTGGAAGCAATATATATAGACCCGTTACCTTTGTTTTAAGCATATTTGAATTTTAATAAATAGATTTTTCTTTAAAATTGTTCGAATTTTTAAATTGAAATTTTATTTTTAAATTATAGCCTTGTGATATTTTCTATTCATGTTTTTTGGTTGCAAAAACTAATTTTAGAGCGGGTACCTAAATTGATGGCAAGTAATAACAGTGGGAACAATCATTCTCACAATGGTGGTCAAAAAATGGAAGCTACATGTAGGGGTGAATATTCAATTTGATTAATTCAATTAATTTATTTAATTGATTGAATTGTCCGAATGCTCACCTTAGCTAAATGAGTTGAGGCTCAGTCGATAGTGTTGACCTTGCAACACATTCTAGATCGACTTGATGCTCTAGGGATAAACGCCGACTGAAATCATGATGGTGAGTGGTGATAGGACACGTGCTTGTGAGATTAGCTATAGCCAATTTCTTAATAGACCGATTCTTGCAAATTCATAACAAATATGAGATTCATCTTATGATTACGATGGAGGATATGTAATGTATGTTCACAATAATAAATGTAATAACCAAAACAATAACCATCACCCTCTCTAAAACCAAAAGCATAACCCTAAACTTAATCCTAGCTGTTGACAATTAGTTTTGCATCTATTTTTTGAAAAGTCTAGTCATGATAAGAAATCAAGGATTAAAAAGTACTAGAAATTTTTATGTCACTTAAATCTATCCAATTTATTTTATTAGTTTGATAATCAATTTAATTGTTCAAGTAAGGGAAACAACCCTAAAATCACTAAAAAGCCCTCCCGATGTATTATTAGTTATTTTAACCCGGTCTAATTACCTATCTTCCAATAATGCAATCAAACATGAATTAAATCATTAAGTTTTATGGTTTGCTTGTTCTTAATTACCTATCTTCCATAATGCAATCAAACATGAATTAAATCATTGAAGTTTTATGGTTTGCTTATGAATTATAACATTAAGGTCAATTAATTTATGAAAAAAACCCCACCGAGTCAAACCAATAGCCTTCCGCATTCAAGGTTATTATTCCCATATAATTTATTATCTTTTTCATATTCAAAAACCATTTCTCCCAATAGTGATTAAATGAAATAATCAATCTAGGGAAAAATTCTACTAGAAGCATTAAGTTCAATAATAATTATACTATAACAAAAAAAAAGCGGCAAATCTAATATTATAAATTGGAATCAAATTAACTATATCAAATCCCTAGTATGAAGAGTTTAGTTTTGACATAGTAATTAAATTAAAACTCAATTGGAAATTTGTAAATAATCCCATAAAGAATTAACAAACAAAAAGAGAGTTAGAATAAAAAAAAAGAGAGTTTAGAATAAAAACTAGTCGTCAATAAGCTTGAACGGCGTCCTTGAATATTCACACCAATCTTCAGCACTTGAAGTCTCGAAGAGAGAAAACTATGTAGGAATTAATAGAATAAAAGATGGAGTATGGAAAAATCCCCCCCAATCATAGCTAGTCTCTCTCTTTTCATAGACTTTCTAAAAATATCTTCATGATTCTTTAGGAAAGTAGATCTCCTATTAAGTAAGAAATCTCCTTCAAGTAGAAAACTGTTTAGGCTTTATATTACTCCCCAATTAGGACTCTCTTAGCGTCTAAATAGGATTTAATTGATTGACACATCAGAAAAGCATCGTATGCGGGTTCATGCAAGTGACACAGGCTAGAACTGTCGTTCTCGGCCCAAGGTAAAGTCTGGTCTTCAGCACGGGCGTGTTGTCTGGTACGGTCTGAGCGTGCTAGGCTCTGAGTCCCTAAGGTGGATGCAACATGGGTCGTGCTTGGATGAGCACGCTCAAGGATCAACAGCTACTTGCGGCACAGGGGTGCTCTCTGGCACGGCTTGGGGGTGCTAGGGTCTGGGAAAGTCAAGATGGTTATAGCAAGGGCCATTGGAGTGAGCATGCTCAAGGATTGACAACCTCTTGTAGCACGAACGTGCTCTATGGCATGGCTTGGACATGCTAGCTTTTGAGTATCTATTCAATTCAGCACGGGGGTGCTATATGACACGCCTAGGGCGTGCTAGATTCTGAACCAAGGAACACTTTTTTCTGTATTTTTGGTTGGTTTCCTATGGAAATGCTGCAAAATTTCCCAAGATCAATTAAAATGTGATTTAAGGAAGCTTTAAACAAAAATATAAATAAAACTAAATAAAAACTAATTAAAGTAATAAAAATACTAAATAATAAAACTATATTAAAAATACTATAAAAATAACACCTATCAAAATTTCCCAAATTTAAACCATTGCTATAAAAATAACACCTATCAAAATTTCCCAAATTTAAACCATTGCTTGTCCTCAAGCAACAAAACTAAAAACAAAAGAAAAACACAAGCTAAACAAACTAAAAAATCTAGCCCAATGTGGTTGGAGATAAATATTCACAATTTCAAAAATATCAAGAATCATTAACCTGAGAATAAATCAAGTGTTTCCTATGCTAATTATATTTTAGCGAAAAATTCAACTTTCAGCAAAACACATTTCTTAATTTAAACATAAGTTAATAAAATTTTCAACATCAATAATTATTCAAGTTATGACAAATAGACTATGAATTTTCACAAAAATTATTAATCATTAAACAATATGTTTAACAATATAAATTCAACATTCCCATAGGCAAAATTAGTCAACATTCCCATAGGCAAAATTAGTCATTCCTTCTCCACAATCGAAATGCACAAAATTGAAAAAAATCAAAAGGTCTTTATTAAAGTTATAATGGGTTTTAGATGTATAATTTAGCTAAACAAGGGAAATGATGAAAGGATAGACAAAAAACACAAGAATGCATAATCTCAAGATTTTCATTATATCAAAACAGATATTTGCATAGGGAGATTAACATTGAAGTTTTTCACTAGCTCAAAATTAGTTATACTTTGGCAAGGTCTCTTTCTAATGCTTTGATAATTTCTTTCTTGCTTCAATTCCCCAGACTTGATTGCTTGATTGATTGCTTCTTTTATGGGGTGCTTCTCTTTGAGTTTTCTAATTGCTCCACTTGCTAGTATTAATGAAAAATTTTCCCTTTTATTGCTATGTTTTAATAAAATCAAATGCTTCAACTATACATTATTGCACTTAGGGTAAGAATTTAAATTGGTTTAATGGCTAGGCTTAATAAGGGTAAACGAGAAAATTTTTTGTTATAAGCTTCAAATTAGTTGCAAAAGTCATAATTTAACTTAGTTGGCCTAGGCTAAGTATGGAGTTCAACAAAGAATACCAAAATCATCTCTTTTTAAATGTGAGCATTTAAAAATTTTGCCTCAAAGGAAATTCTAATATGTTCTAGAAATGCCAAGGTTAAATAAATTTTGATTAAAAACATACCTATATACCATAAAATTCACAAAAATCAGTGCTTATGATCTTAAAAACAAATGGTTAAATCAAAAAATCATGTTAAATTAAAACTTAAACATACTAGACTAGGAAAAAAACTAAATTTATCACAAGTTACTAAATTATGATAATTTTCAAGCTTGCTCACAATTATTCCAACCATATTAAGCTAATGCAACAAATAACACTAACATTATTCCTAAATTTATCACAAGTTACTAAATTATGATAATTTTCAAGCTTGCTCACAATTATTCCAACCATATTAAGCTAATGCAACAAATAACACTAAAATTTAACTAAAATTTTCCTTCCCCCAACTTAATCTAGCACATTGTCTCCAATGTTTGTAAAATCAATTTTCCAAACTTATTATATTAGCAAGAATGAAGCAAGATAATATGAGAGTTGAGAAACTGTTACCACCATTGTATTGAAAAATACAATAAAAATGAAGGAATTGATACGATAAGAGACAAGCGCCGGAATTCTCAAAGCTACAAAAAAGAATCACTAAAACAAAACAAATTTTATGCGAAATACTTAATACAAATAAGAACATGGTCTAAATAAAAAGGAAGAATTAAAAGAAGGACAAACTATTAATAAAAACAATACGAAAAAAAATGAAAAACAAAACAATCATTCCTCAGCTGGTGGAGGTAGATGCGACTACTGCAACTGTATCACAGTTTGGAGCTGACTGGCGATTCCCTGATATTGGTTTTGCGTGGTATCTATTCGAGAGTCGAGGCTCCCTTGCATAATTTCTATGGATTGGAACCTATCAGAAATCATGGTCTCCATTCCTTAAAAGCGAGCATCAAACATGTCCATACTAGACATCATACGTGTGAGAACCTCTTCGTTGGACAAATTGGACGCTCCTTGAAAGGAAGGACCAGCTCCAGATGTACCTACACCAGAAAAAGTACCAAAACCAGGAAAGCTATGTGGAATACCCTCCTCCATATTAGTATCATCAGCCTCTTTAGTTTCCTCAACCTCATTTCTTGCTTCTTGGGATCCCACAATACGGAACGTATCCCCCTACCTTCTCTACTAACCTCATATGCACCATGACATCTATGTCGAGTCTAGTACCATTTCCACCTCCCACAATATCA